CAGTGCAGAGGTACTCGCCCACGTGCCAGGTGCCCACCCCAGCTGGGCAGCATTTGGGAGGGGGGCTCTGCATGTCCATGCAAGACCCCACCCACATGCACCTAGGGTGCTGCAGCGCCAGCCGGCATCGCCCCATTGGCGGGACTCAAGGGGTCGGGGTGCCAGGGCACCGAGCTGCGACATCCCGGGCAGGAGCGGTGCAGGGTGGACTCGGGCTGGGCAGGCATCCAAGCATCTGGGATGAAAACTAAAGGTGGCGAGCATCTGCATCCTCCGAGTCCACGGGTCCCTGCTGTAGGGGAGGAGGCACTGCCAAGTCCCCCAGCCTGGCACCACCGCCGTGCCCCGCAAGCAGAGGCGCCTTCAGCCTCCCGCACCATGCCTGGACCTCACCGCAGAGAGCAACACAAACGCATCACCGGAGCCGTCGAGCGTTGCCTTTGCTCCATCTCGCACAAAACACGCAGATATGAGAGGGCAGACGTGCGTTTATTTTATCTTTTAAAAATAAAAGACAGAGAACCGGCAGCTGGGCTACGGCTACGGCTGGAGCTACCCGCAGGAGCAGCTGGAAGGTTTGGGATGCGCCGCTTCTCGGGAGTTTCTCCCCAGCTGGACCCGAACCCCCGCCAAACGGACGTCAGCGGGCGGGACGGGAGCGAGCAAGGGGCACTAGAGCACAGACAGGACGTGGTGCAGAGGGGGCTTTTCACACCCGCCGCTAATATAAGTCAGGTCCCAGATCCGCGACAGCGGGTCGGGGCGGTGGATGGGGTCAGACCGGCCAGTGCCGGACATCGAACCGTCCCCGGGAAGGAGCCGGGACACATCCCCCAGGCGACAGGGGATTGCAGAACTGACGCAACCACGTCCCCGTGCCCAGGACAACCTGCTACGAGGCAAGCGCAGCTGAGCGCCCGGAGGGGTGGACGCGGGCTGCCGGGAACATTGCGTTCCCGCTGCCTAGGAGACACAAGAACGGTGTACGGGATGCACCTGTACATCCCCCGCGCCCGGGGAGTCGCTCACCCGGGCTCATCACGGAGAAGCTGAGCCAAGGGGAGGGGTGGGAAGGTCACACACAGCAGGGCGGAGGGTGGCGGGGGCTGACCGCTCATGCCATGGCCACTTGGCTCCTGCATTTCTGCAAAGACCCGGCTGCGCTGCAAACTCTGCGTGCCTGGAGCGGTCCGTGCTGCGCGGTCCAGGAGAGCAGGCTGGAAATCCTCCCCCTTCCCGCAAGGCAGCCAGGCAAGGAGGACTCGGCGCAGAGCCCTCCACGTGGCACGTGAGCCACGTGGACGTCAGGTCAGGAGACCACCAGCAGGTCAGGCGAGGGAGAGCAGCAGCAGAAGGGCCAGGGCAGGGGGTGGCTCGCACCAGGCGCCACAACACCTAGGGGCAAGGAAACCAAGATCTGCCCAGCCTGACTCCAAGAGCAGACAGCAGGGGCTGCGATGCCCCGGGTAGCGCCAGGGCAGGCGGAGGACGGGGGCTAGAGGGCTGCCCACGAATGTCCATGCTGCAGACCGGAGGTCCTGGCGACAGGAGCTCCTTGGGGACAGGAGACCTGGCGCAGGGACAACGGGCTCCCTCTCTCATGGTGGCTGCTGGGCAGAGCCGGGCACGCGGAGTGGGTCGGGTCTGTGCTTCAGGGGCTGCGGGAGATGCCGTCTTCACTTGGTCTTCTGGGAGTCCAGGGCGAGGTTCATTGCTCCTCTGGATGCTGAGGGAAGGCAGAGAGAAGCAGCACCCGGCCCCAGCGTTAGAGCATCTCTTAGTATTGGATTAGCACCCAGAACCCCTCCCCCTTCCTGCCCACCCCTGCAAGAGGGAGGTCTGGTCTCCTGAGTGTGAGGGCAAAGAGACATGCCCAAGGTCACTAGGCAGGGCGGTGGCAGAGGATGCCGGCACTGCTCCAGCCGCCTGCCGCCGCCTTCCTTCTGAGCCAGGAACCAAACCCAATCCTCAGCAAGCAGCAGCTTGCCATAGCCAGTAGGCAACACTTGAGCCACTACCCCGGGATTAGCTCCTCGGACTCCCTGCTGTCCTGACAAGGCCGAGGGAAGAGCTTTGCGCTGCCCTTGGGCAGGAGACCAAGTCTGGCGAGAGCCATTCCCAGGCCCAGCCGTACGCTGGTGGGCAGAGCCCGCCGTGCCGTGCACATGCCGGCCAGGACAAGAACAGCGTTCCCACGTAATCCCCTTTAGAAGCAGCCGGAGGCCTCCTAATCCAGCACTAACACCACGACCTGCTGCCTCAGCTGCTCAGGGGTTAGCGCCGGCCCTGGGAGCAGCCCCCCTCCCCTCCAGGGAGCCAGCGCCAGGGTTATGCTTTGCTGGACCCATCCCCAGGGGCTGGAGCAGGTCAGTGAGGCAGGGCTTCTGTCCTGGGACATCCAAGTGCAGGGTGGACCGGCAGCCAGAGGGCTTTCCAAGGTCCCTGCCAGCCCCATCCCTCCTCCATGTCCCTTGGGGCTTCTGCAGGACCCATTGACATGAGCCATCTATCTACCCCCCACCCAGCCCCCAAGTAGTTCTCCTCCAGCTCTACAACGCTCATCACGCTCTCAGCTGCATCCACTAAATGTGCAAGGACCCCACCGGGCACTGCCAGGATGGATGCCGGAGAAAGGCCCTTCTGGCACCAGGCTGGGGGGCTATTGCAGCATGGGAAGGGGGAGGCAATATCCCCCAAGCCTGGCTGAATGGTGCAGGGAGCCCCAGGCTGTCGTTCTAGCCACGCTTGCAATGGGCTGGGAGGAGACACCCTGGGGCTGGCGTTTCCGGCTCCCCTGCTCGGGTGTGGGTTTCCCTTGGGCAATGGATTTCCGTTCAAATGGGAAATGGGCCCCCAGGGGCATCCTGTGGCCAGCTTCTACCCAGCACCCAGCAGCTCGTGGAAGGGAGGAGAAGGGGAAGAGCCTGGCCTGGCCCTGGGAACTAGAGCAGGGCACTCGACTCCCCTCGGTGGGACTGGCCATCAGCGCTCCTCGTCACGCAGACGGACGCTGCCCTGGCTCGTGCATCCCGTACAGGTCTCCTGGATCATGGCGTGGAGACCCCAGCCGCAAGGTGTGGGTCTGCTGCATGGCATGGAGCAGCTCCACCAGCCACGGAGGCGCTGGGGCTTGGATGCATGGAGACAGGACCCCGGGGAGTAAGGGGCCACAGAGAACGGAGACGTCCCACTCCACCCCCAAGGCACGTGCGGACAGGCAGGGGGCTTGCAGGGCTCTTAGCAAAGGGGGATCCGACTAGAGAGGGCAGGTCTAGACTACAGGGCTCTGCTACGGGAGACTAGGCAGGTGCACGCTATGCTCCACCAGTGAAGGAAGAGAAATGGCCAGTTAGCATGACCGCGGGGGAGAGGATGTCCCCCAGCCCCCTCCGGAAGGTGCCCCAGGACCCTCTCCTGAGCATCCTACCCTCGAGTTCTTCCTGGGCATGTCTACACGTGCAATTAATGCTACTGTGCAGTAAAGCCAAGCAAATTTACTGCACGGTAGACCAATTTACTGCACAGCAAATGCCTGCATGTGCATACGGTGACGCTTCACTGTGCTGCAGACTAACCTACTGCGCAGTAAAGCATCTCGTGTAGACGCAGCCACTGAAATAGGACCTCAGCGGTGATGCACAGTGCCAGCAAGAGTGCTCCCTCAGCCCACAGAGCACGTGCTTCCCTGCAATGTGCCTTTCCCTGACCTCAAGGATTTCCCTCTCCAGCTCACTTAATCCCAGCAGGAGCTGCCAAGCTGAGCCCCAGGTAGGGTGGGCAGATCTGACTGCAGCCCGGTCACCGTTGACCTTCAGCTGGATTTGAACCAGTCACCAAAGCGGCTCTGCAACCACTCGACCAGCCCCTGAGCTCTCTCTGCCGTCGCACAGGGCCTGGCCTGCCACGACCCCGAGCATCTTTTGCTAAGAGCCTGCTTGGAGGCTTCGATGCAGGGAACGCCGGGCTGCGACCCGCACACCGCTAGGAAAAGGCACTCGAGTCCCTGGCAGCCGGCAGGGAAGCAGGGGTGGAGGCAGTCATGCTCAACAGGCCCTCGCTTCCTTCAGCCCGGCCCTTTGCTGGGGGAGAGGGATGGACTGGGGGGGGGTTACATACAGACAGGCTGAGCTGGGGCTGAGGCGCCGGCTCAGACATCAGCTGGGCTCTGCTGCTGACCAGAGTCCGGAGGACTGGACGGAGCGGCACAAGAGAGAAGAGGCAAGAGATTACGAAGAGGTCCCCGGTGCTGCAGAGAAGCCAGGCGGGCTCCAGCCAGATGCGGCACAGGGGGAGGCGGAGACGTAACATCTGTCCGAGGACAAGGAGCTCCCCCCACCGTGCATGTGCACGGGTCTTGCTCCCAGCCCAGGGCAATGAGAGCGCACGGGAGGTTTCTAAATCGAAAGCTGCTCTACTTCACACCCCAGCTGGGCAGGGCCCTGCACGCGGCCAAGCTGGCGGAAGATGCCCTTCGCCCTGGCCGCAGGCGTGGGAAGAGCGAGCGAGACCCGCGCAGGGCACGGTACCTTCCGTGGTGATGGTGGAGGCTGTGTCCAGGACCCTGCCGCTCAGGTTGCTGATCACGCTGTCCACCGTCTGGTGGTGCTTCAGGAAGCAGGGCCTGATGACCCGCCGGTACAGCATCTGCGAGCCGTTCCAGGAGACGGGAGCCATGCACCAGAGCAGGAACAGGCACTGCGGGCAGAGGGCACACTCAGGCCGTGCTGGAAACCCCTCGCTCGCCGGCCGTGAGCAGCATGGACGCGGCCTGCAGGGAGGCGTTTGGCCCGTCCGGTTGGATATAGCACAGAAGCACCGGGCAGCCCTTTCTGGGCATGGGACCATTGCGTCCCACCCAACAAGGGGCAGCCGCATCTCCAGAGACAGCCGGCCACTTCTCTTCTGGCACGGCTCTGCTCCGAGGAGACCAGGGTCAACACGGGTAGCTTCCACGCTTCTCACCCTGGGGCTGGGATTAAACTTGCTGGAGCTACTAGCATCTCAGCTGACTTGGTTTGAGCACCCAGGTGCCAAGAAGGGAGAGGACCTTGGACTGGAGTCATCTCTGCTAGGGATTGGGACACTTAGAGCTATGGAAAAACCATCTCTAGGTCGAGACCCAGTGGCTCCATCCCCATCTCTGTGCTCCCAGGGCCATTCCCCTCCTACAAGCCCTGCCGTGCCTCCCCGCGTTACCTTTCCAAAGTAGTAAAACGGTAACCAGTAGAGGAAGATGTCGGAGAAGAACTCGGCCACGCTGAAGACGCCGTACACCACCCAGTACGTCAGCCACGTGGTGTCGTCCTCCTTGCTGGAGCTCTCGATGGCTTTGATGCTGAGGAGCACAGAGATGCTGTTGCATCTCCCACCTCACAGGGCTGGCGGAGGGCATGCTATAGCCAGGAGCTTCAAGGCTTGCTAGGGTCTTTGGGCACCCGTTGTGGGTGCCCGCTCGAATGCCCACTGCCCAAAGGACATTGCTCCAAGGGGAAGGGGCTGGAGACAAAGCCCACACCCGCCCTGGGGCCAAACCCAGTGGATCTCCGTGTTTGTGCTTGGAACAACCCTGCAGGGAAGTGTCCCCCAGATCCCCGGCAGCCAAGCCACTCCTCCCACTGTGCGCGCCGGCAGCTGGGCCTCCGTGTAGGGCCCCGTGGGACCCCCCGTCGAAGCCCCCAGCAAGGAGAGACTGCCAGCAGACCTGCCCTCTCCTCGGGCAGAAAGCAAAGGCACCAAGGCTGGAACGAGGGCGCGCTCCCGGCACGGCACTTACGAGACGTAGGCAGGGTAGGCGAAGCCGATGAGGTTGCAGAGCAGTGAGGCGCCATAGCCGAAGACGAGGTAGAGTCCCACGAAGGTGATGGAGCCTGCCGAGAGAGGGGACAGTCACACGCGGCCTGGGCAGGAAGGGCGCCGGGTGGGGGGTGCTTCAGGGAAGAGACACCGATGACATCCAGACGGGGAGACGTGCAGGGACCCCCACGGATGGCCATGCCATGTTGTCTGGTCATGACAAAAGGCCACTTTTGGCTTGGGTCCCTTCCCATCCTTGGCTTTTCTAAGTCAGCGCACACACCCCCAATCAGCCTGGCTCCAGCTCAGCCAGGGAGCGCCGAGACCCACCTGCCCTCCATCGCTGGAGATTAGCTCCAACACCCCTGAGCGGGGCAGCGAGATCCATCACCTGCTCACTCCAATCATCACAGCTCGGGAGTGTTTCTGGCCACCGTCTCACCATGCAACGAGGCATGAGAAGGCAGCATGAGAGTTTCCCCGCCTGGGCATAGCGCCTCTTGTGCAGGGCTGGCCTGCATCAAGCCAAGATGCTGCAAGAGCCTCCCCTGGACGGGGCTGGCTTGGCCTAAGTTGCTCTAAGGAGGTCTGACACATGCACACAATGTCACCGAGCGCAAGACTGGAAGACACTCGGATGCTGTGAAGACCCTGCCTGGGGGAGGAGAGCTCAGTCAGTCCCCGAGACCCTTTTCAAGCATCCTTTTAATCTCCTCCTTACCAGGACTTGCTGCAACCTCCTTCCCCATGGCAGCAAGCCTGGTCTCATAATGCAGCAATACGTCCCTGGCATGAACCTTTGATCCTGGAGTTCCCCTCCCTTTGCCTGGGCTGGGCAGGGATTGTTGCAGGGTTTCAGGGGGTAAAGTTTGGCCAGGAGGGCTCTGGGCAGGCACAAGGGAGTCCTCTAGGTTCACTAGACATGTCCAACATCAGGCAAGGCAGGGATGGAGGCAGTGCCCGGCATCTCACACCAATTCCCACCAGGATGCTCCTTGCAGCGGGCGAGAGGGCAGCTCTCCTGCCAGCTCTTCATTTAGCCTCTAGCACCAGCAACGCTGGGCACCAGGAACCCAGGGGTCACTTGGGGCCAGCTCTCAGCCTGCTGCCCCCCAACAGCAGCAGGAGAGCGACTGCCGGCAGAGGGGCACGGGGGTAGGAAAGGCCAAGTCCGTCCTCCCCCAGCAGCTGCCGGAAGCGGAAGAGCTGACATTGCAGTGGCAGAACGAGAGCCGTGGACGCCAGGCCGTTCAAGCGAAGTGCCTTTACCCCGGTGACCCAGCACGCAGGCGCTACCGAGCACGTGGCAGGTGGAGAGGCTGCAGGATCTGGGCAGTGACGATCCCCAGGGCGGGATAACCACCACAGGCCTGCTGCTCCAGCACCGGCTTGCACAAATGCCCTGGACAACCCGCTGGACACAGCCAGGCAAACCAGGACGCTTACAGCAAGGAGCAGCCAAAGGGCAGCAGCTTAGTGCCGAGCTCAACTGCTGCTTGCAGGGCATGTGCTCCAATCTTGGGGTGAGCCTGGGGCTCCCACATGCTTGCCAATCGCTCCACGCCCATCCCCGCCACTGGGCAGGTTCATTAAACCCTCCCCAGCCCCTGCAGCGCAATCCTATCTTAGCATGAAGCGGTCTCTCTGGAGGCTGAGCTGCACCGGACCGCAAGCAAAGCGTCTCGGCGTCACGCCTCCCCGGAGGGTCAAAGGAGACGCACGGAGGGAGGGCGCGCGCGGGGGATCGTTATCTCTGGAATCCCGACTGTCGAGGGGCAAGGTTCAGGGGCGAGCTCTCGGTGCCAACCGTGGCCCGAGCGGTAGGCGTGGCGTCCCGTGGCCCCAGCTTGCGTGTGCAACAGTCCCACGTCCTGGGCCAAGCAGCCTGGCTGTCCACGACTCCATCGCAGACAGACATCTGAAGGGTTGCCAATGATATGCAAGCCAGAGGCTGCATCTATTAACAGGACACAAGAAATCCAGCCAAGCAACAGCCCCCAACGCAGCTCGCTGGAGACGGCGCTCCATTAGCTAGTCACAGGAGGAGGCCGATCTACCCTTGGGCCCAGAGAAACCCGTGCCACGACCACGCGGTGCCCTGACATGCTCCTCCTATGCTCTGGACTGCCAGGGATTTGAAAGGCACAGAAAAGCTTCAGGGCTTAGCTCTGTCTTGCTTCAAGATTAGACTGAAACCTTCCCTTGGGAGGGGCATGGGGCATTGCTTCCAGTTGCCCTCCACAGAGCATTTCTTATACTCTCCTCCAGCACGTCTGGTGCTGGCTGCAGTCAGGGTCAAGACAGATCTGTCCTGGGTCCAGCAACTCCCACGTGAACATCCCCGAATCAGAGGGAGAGCCGCAAGAGCAACTGCCTCCCTCCCCAGAGCTCGCCGTGCCGAGACGACAGCTCTTCCCTGCAAAGGTTTCCCCCAGCACCGGGCTGGATTTTCCCAGACAGCTTTCAAATGGATTTAATGGGCACAGGGGAAAGGACTGTGCAAGGTGCTGGCTTTTCTTGCAAGGCGCATACCCCAGTCGGCTTAAGCTCCAACCCTGGAGCTAGGCCAGAGGAAAGAAGGCAGGGCAGGAAAAAAAAAAAAAAGCTAGCAACCAGGTGGGATTACAGCTTTGCATGTGCAGAGCTTGGATTTCTTTCCTCCTTGCAGATCTCCAGGACCTGGTTTCGAGCGGCCAGGGAAGCAGCCCACACAGCTCAACGCTGCGCTGCAGCTTTACCTGCTCTTCCAGTCCTGCTCCTGTCCCCAGGCAGACACGATTGTCTGCTGCAATGCTCCTTCCAGCTGGAAAACCAGGCAGCTGCAGGGCCCTGCCCAGTGTGAAACCCTGTGTGTGGGTGGCAAGGCCTCTGCCTGCCCTGTGCAGACAGGGCATGGATTTCTCCCACCCCACAGGCACGTTGGAAAGCATCACCAAGAACCCCCTGGGAAGCAGATAGACCAGGGTGGGTGACAGCATCCTGCAACCAGCTCCTTCCAATTCAGGGCGCAGGACTGGATCTGAATCCTGGACTCAAAGACAAACATGATGCTTAATGTAGACAACTCTGGTTTAGGGGGAGCAGGGTGGGAAGGGGAAAAAAGGACAAAGTTGAGAGAGATCTGACTGGCAATGATCTAAGAGCAGTCCACCAGCGCCAGAAACATCGCGATTCAGTCTGCAGAAGAGAAGACGGAGGGGGATTGAATAGCAGCAGGGGTTTGCAAAGAGGATGGGGCTGGGCTGGTCTCAGTGGGGGCAGATGGCAGAAGGAGCAATGGGCTCCAGTTGCAGCAAGGGAAGTTGAGGTTGGATATTAGGAAAGTCTCACGAGGAGGGTTGTGAAGCACTGGAACAGGTTGCCCAGAGAGGTGGTGGACTCTCCATCCTTGGAGGTTTTTAACAGACAAAGCCTTGGCTGGGATGATGTAGTTGGGGCTGGTCCTGCTCAGAGCAGGGGGTTGGACTAGATGCAACCTCCTGAGGTCCCTTCCAGCCCTCCTTTTCTATGACTCCATCCCCAGCAACAGCTGCAAGGCACGGGCTCAGCCGCTTTTGTAATATTCCTCCTCCTGCGAGCGGCGCGGTGCCCTGCACAGCACGGCACAGGACCGACCTGTGGGCAGAGACAAAGGCGCTCGTCAAGGAGCATGCCAGATGCTCTCCACGGTCCAGGGACCTCGATGTTAAGATAAAATGAGCATTTGCTCAGGAAAGAGACCCTCGTCCTTGGTGCGCGGAGGCCGACTTAATGCTGTTAAGCGTGAACGTTTGAGAGAAGCAGGTGGCAGCACGCCAAGCATTGTTTGCTAACGGCTTTCTGGGAAGGAGTAGGGAAAGGACACTGCACTTTGCACGGCAGCTTCCCCAGGTGCCACATGCAGCAGTTAACAGCCAGGAAAGTTGCAGCTAAAAGTGAAACAAGGAAACACAGCGTGGCACAGGACCCCAACAACAGCTCAGAGCGAAAGCGGCCTGCGTCAGGGGCTTTACCGGCATACACTAGCCCAGCCTTGGTCCTGCAGGGCCTCTAGGCCAAGCCCTGACTGGACAAGAGGCTCTGTAGGAAGGAACACGAGGCTCCAGCCCCATGGACTGGCATGTCCATCGGGCAGGAGAGGAGGCAGGACAGAGCAGAGGGAAGCCAACTGAACTGGCAACGGGCAATTTAATTATCCCCTTTCCTTTAACCAAGCCTGGCCCAGGGGCTGGAAGGGGAAAACTCTGAGCAATCGCTTGTGAGGTTGCTCGATTCCCACGGGTTGCTGTAATCCGCTGCCTTATATAAGCTAAGTCATGAGCAGTGCAACCCTACACTCAGGAGGCTTCCTGGCCTTGCCACTGCTCTGCCAGACAGCCATGGGCACTTCACTGCGCCCCCGTGCCGCAGGTTTCCCCAGAAGAGAGACCAATAATACCAGCCTCTCTCACAGGGTGTGACCGCAGAAAGCCACCGAGCGAGATCCAGGTATTGTAACAGCCACAAAGCCAAGGCTGGAGTTGTTAGCCTGCGAACGGGAGTGCTGGGGAGCTCGGGCTCCTACCACCCCCCCGCAGCAAGGCTTGAGAAAAGCAAAGACGGGCAGCTGGACGGGGAGGCTGGAGCCGGGACCCCTGGCCTTGGTGGCTCTGCCGGGGGCGAGCCCAGAAGCAAACAGCCCGATCGATCTGGGCTGTCACCTGCCCTCCGGGAAAGACAAACACTTGTGCAGGAGCCTGTTTGGAAAGCAACCACAAGCAAGCCAGGTGGCAAGCAGCACACCCTGCTCCGACACGGAGCCGAGTTTTGTCCACACGGACCCAAGGGGCGCTGGCCCCCTTCCCCACCCGCTCTCCGGGGCCAGACGCTACACCAACCCCTGCCGCAGGCAAAAGGGGAACTGCCCGCGGCTCCCGCGGGGCTCCTCTGCCGCCCTGGGGACTTAGGAGCCAGCTTTGCACACACTGGTTAGTCTCATTTCCTTCCGCACGGGAGGCCCGGGCACCACCATCACTCAGCCGCTGTGCCAGTCACCACTGCCACCCCCGCCAGACCACCAGCAGTGGGCAAGGCAGGGAGGGGACACAGGCACACCCGCGCACCAGCAAGCCCCAAGCCAGAGCGTGCGGCTCCGGGGCAGGGCTGTCCCTGCCCCACCTGTGCCCGAACTCCTCGCAGCCCCTCGCCCTGCCGGCTGGGACAAGGGCAAGCCTGGGCGGAGAGGGGCAGGTCCCAGGAGGGAGGGGGGGGCCCACCTGCGGCCAGGTAGG